AATTTTTTTCATTGCAGAACTTGAGACCTCGAATAGTTCGAATCCAATTGTGATGATGATAACTTTTTCAATGTCAGATCCAATAATGTCTTCCAGAATTCGGAATTTTTTTACACTTCGTCTATCTGCATATAATTTTTGTTATAAGACAAGGAGCGAACAATTATTTATTCTTTCGGATTCTAAATCGAATATCATAGATGTCTTTGATGATAAATAAATCTGTATAATAGAGCATCTTTCGCAGAAGTAATATTATGACCATAGAAAATGAAATTGTGCGCTAAAAAGGTAACCGCATTTGAGTTGGTAGAATTTCGAAATTATCGCTTGCCTCAGCTGTTCAATTGATTTGTCAGCCAAGGACTTTAGACAACTCAAAAGCTTCGTTTACATATCCGGTATTTATGCCATTGTGCCATTAGTTTTGCGTGTTTGCCACTTTGTTCCCTGTTAATTAATGACTTCACTAGCGCTCGTAAAAAAATGTAATACGCCAACAAATATTTTGTGAAAAGTATTTTAATAACTGCCACTTTCATTAAAAAATGTTATTTTTTATAAAAATAGATCATTACTAAACATATTAGGCTTTTTCATACTGAAACGATTAATACTTTTAATACGATTATTGTCAGTATTAAAACTAATAAATAAATTATTTTAAACGGCAAAAAATATAAGTCGCTACTTATAAAAAAAAAAGGGATTATTATCATTTATCGATTCACTTTCATCTATTTGCACGGTTAATGGTACCTTTAAATGGTTACCATTTTTTTAATACATCAAATATGACTATATCTAATAGCTGTAATGTCAATAAATATTTTACATATGTATTTGTTTTTTACTCTATCCCATAAAAATGTGATCAGTTAGCCATGTGCCGGTGCTGTCCGCAAAAATCTTTAGTTTTGTTTTTCATTATTTCACCTATATCTATGATATCAGGCATTTGCGAAAGGAAATTTGTAGGCTGTTGAGTATAATTAGCAGGAGCAATAATAGCTATAATAGAGTGAGGTGAAGTTTAAAAAAAGGGAGGTACCCTTGGGGTTAGGTGCACGGCAGCCCATTGAATATGCTTAGCATTAAGATCAACCCCTGTAGTTATAGCTCGGTATAGAAAGAAATTGGGAAAATTGAGTAGGATCTAATTAAAAAGTTAAAAAAATGGTAATCTAAAAGGATATAAAGGATATTATGGAGAATGTTTGCAAGGCTCTATTTAAGGTTTTCCATAGTTATTACATATTATATTTTAACAGCTTGCGTACGAGTCCGCAACACCACGGGATACATTTTTATGTATCTAAGGTGGCTAGTAAACATATCAAGTTTCTGGCTAATATTTTAGTGTTTTCATAATTTCTGGCCTAAAACTATTCATAGAGAATTTGGGCCCTTAAATTATTTATTTTTTTTTTAAGTGCCTAAGGGCATTTTTATTTAAACGATTAAAAATCTTTATAAATATAAATCTAAAGAGTATTAATACATACATAAATTATTGAATTTATTTTTCATTTCTATTTTAAACGTTGTGAACACAACAAATATGCCCCACCCCTATTCCCATTCCCAACCCCAACCCCAGCCCCATCCCTTACCTCTAATCTCTAAGCTCCTATCTCTTACCCCTGTCTCCTATCTCTTACCCCCTATCTCCTATATCCTATTAAATAAATGACGCAGAATATTAAAGTCTGTGCAGTAATACCACTTAAATCTTTGTATAGTGGTTTACAGAACACTGCAAGTCAAAACTTACATTATATTATACCTTTTACTATTGTCTAATTCGAAAACAATCCTTTGTGTTCTGCAGTAAGCATCTAAGGAGTTATTGTCTTTAATTAAGTTGTGTATGCATAATGCATGAAAAGACAAAATAGAGTTTGGCGTCCCTGTGACAGTATAAAATAAAATTTATGAACTAATAAATACAACGTATTACCTATGTTTGTTTTTTCCAAAATTATAATCATTTAATTCACAATTTTTAAATACATTTCAAACAATACATTTTTATACATTGCAGATTGAATAATATAGCTATTGTATAAGCGCACTTAAAATAATTGTAATATTATTAAATATTGTTAGTTATGTTAATATTGTAGTTAGTACTTTTAGTTATATTTTCTTATACGAATACTATATGACGTATTAAAATCTACGTAAAACTCTAATATATTCATCTGGGAACATACATCCAAAAAAATTATTAACTATACTAAAATTAACATGATTAAATTTTTCTTTTAGAGCCACAACATATCTTTGTGCATTTATAAAATTGTTATAAATTTTTCTTCTTAACTCACTAGGTTTTGTGTGAGATGTATCGTCAATACCTTGTTTTCTGTCTACATACACTAGTTTTTTACCTCGATTATTATTATTATTATTTATATTACTTGTTGCCCTAAATATGCAAGTTCCCAATTGTCTTAGAACAGTTTTTGACATATTACGTTTGTATGATTTATACGTTTTTAGAGCATCATAAAGATCTTTTAATTCTGGTGAATAGTCCAATGCCAAAAATTTTAAAAAGTCTTGAAATAATTCCTCAAATTGGTGCCATAATTTTTTAAAGACTGATGAATGAAGAAGAGTAATCTCAATTTTCAATTTTACTGAAACAACATTTAGAAATAGTTGTACGTGTTTATTTATGTATCTAAGCATTGGCAATACTATAATTAAGACTACTACTCTATGGTATTCAAAAAGTTCAGAGTAATTATCTGTTATCCATGTGTCCACGGCCATGTTGTAAGCTTTGGACAACTTGTCCTCTAATTCCTTACATTCCCATGTCAGTCCGACGTTTTCATTTTGAATAAAATAAACAAAGTCCTTAGCTTGTTTTCCGATATGATTCAAAAATAAACTGTCGGGCATAAAGCATAACGAATCGACTTTACTATGTTCCCTGTCGTGTTCGACGGCTGATTTGATTTGTTTTATATTTTCTTTGATCAAATCTACAAGCTCGTCTGGTTTCAATTTTTTTTTGTCAAATGAATCAACAGGCGCACTTTGGTTTCCTAGATAGTTGTATACACTTAACTTGATGGTCTCAATGGCGCCGAAAACCTTCTTAAGCTTTGATTTTTTGTCACCTCGAACATATTTAATACAACCATCCGTCAAGCATAAGGCATCTGAAACGGTGTTTGCAAACAAGTTGTGTTGCCAGAGCCATATGATGTTCATACCGGGTGTAGATTTGATTACCTCGACGATTTGACCACCATAATCCGACAGCAATTTCAAACTTGTCTCGAGATATTTGTCATTCTCGATGAGCATCTGACTGAACTGTAGAATTTCTATAGAATTTTCCGCACATTTAGCTAACGTTTTATTATTTACGTATGATAAGCACACATCAGTGCAAATACACAAGAAAAGTGCGACGACGCATAACCTAGCTGCAGCCATATTCGGAACTAAATCTGTGTTTGATGTTGTTAAAGGTTTTCTATAAGTTTACTTAAATTTATATTTACGTATATGTTTTTTGTTGACAAAGATTTTTTCCCCTATAAATGTGGACTCTAACGCACTTAGAACATATGTATGGTTTTTGTTTATTGATATTTAATTTGTAAATTTAACCTATTTACCAGATAGGTGCGTACTTACAGTTGTTTTTATATTCGTCGTTGTATTGTTTTTTACACGAGTTTTATTACACAGATTATTATCTGGCCGGAACTTACTTGACTTTCAAATACAAATCCGCAATTTTGAATTTTTAATTTCAAAGGCAACATTAAAAAATTAATAAACATCTTATATTAGACTTAGGCTTGGCTTGGCTTAAAGTTATTTTTTTAAGAAAGATATTACATATTATATTTTATCAGCTTGCGTACGAGTCCGCAACACCACGGGATACATTTTTATGTTTCGTCTGCGGAGCACCGTCCTCTCCTTTTTTCCCGCCTCGATTCCGAAGCCTTGATATTATTCGAAATATTTTTCGTTGCTAACCAAAAAAAAAAAACCCTTGGTTTGTGACAATGGTAACCATGGTAGTCGGAATGGTAGGTGATGATTAATTTTATGTTGTGGCCAAAAGTTTTTTAATAATTGGCCTTAATCAATTTATTGGCAAAACATTTACTTGACTAGTTATTTTGAATCAATTCATTTAAGTTTTTTCGTTGTGAAAACAACACATAATTTAAAAAAATTAACATCCCTTCCCCATCCCTAGTTGCTACTCGAAGGAATTGGTCCAGTATTAAAAAAGTTACAGTGTATACAGATAAAAAAAACCCACATCAGTGTAAAACCAATACCTTTGCCGCTCTGCATCGAAGCTAAAATATGAGTGTTGAAAAATTGAACCCACTTTATACGACCATTGACAAAAATAAACGAAAGAAATCGAAAAGAATTTGAAACTCATATTTAATACAAATGTTGAGTACAAGAAATTAAAATTACTGCAAAAACTAGTTATTAAGTTTTTTGTGGCTAGTGTAAAATTACAATTTTGTGACTTGTCGTTTTTGAAATGACCGATTCAGTTTAATACTTTCTAACTTTGCTGGCTTACATTGTGCTTGGTTTGGACTGTACTGGCTTGAAAATACTAACTATCGATTTGCAACGAAGCGTTTTTTCAAAAGTGATTTTATCAGTTAAAAATTCCTGTAAACCTGTTACTTCCCCGTCCCCACTATGCCCAGACCCCACTATGCTCCGACCCCACCATGCTCCGTCCCCACTCCCCGCTAAGCCCCGATCCCACTGTACTGGTTTTTTTACATTTTCTATGATTCATAGTTTTAAATAGTCAACCCTTGGCCATAGCATATTTAACTTACTTTGTTTTTAAAAAGAATATCAACTCGTTAACTGTTAGGATCAAATTTATTTATACAATTTTTTTGAAAAAACAGAGACCTACTTATGTTTATGTATATTATAAATTAATTGGATCATTTTTGCATAACTAAAATATAGCACTATGAAATACGGTATTTAATAAATTTTTTTATTTTCATCATTTTTATTAGGATATAATCAGTTTGTAATTTTTTGAAATATATACATTGAATTTTTATGTTTCATTATAGATTTATTGCTCCATGAATGTTTAAAAATTCATGGTTCCTGATCCTCTTATTCCTTTAAATGCAATTTTTCTTTCCCCGTTGACCTCCAGTGCACGGTTACCCCATTTTATCACTAATGGCCTCTCCGTTGCATTAACTCCTTCGACTATTTTGCCGTCGAACACGAGTGTTTCACCAAAAAATTCTGCGCATTTATTACCTTGATTATAAACTACATATCCTGAAACGTTTTCAATCAAATAAATATTGTATAATAATTCCAACCCGATGCCGAATTAGACTAACCTGTATTACCCCTGTTATTATACATTTGTTCATATAGTTCATCACCCTGATTAAAAGTCTGCGAATCTGAATTTCTATTAAGACAGTTATTACACGGGATGTTTTTTATTTTAGACCACAATGATTGCAATCCACAGCAACTAACTCCGCGTTCTTGGCTGCTTGCATTATTTGATTTTTGCCCTTGTGATTTTGTAGAGGTCTGCGATTTTTCTTCACCGCAATGTTCGGACCTATTAGTTTCAACAACGCTTTCTTCGGTTTGGGGAGTGTCGATAATATGATCTGAAATGTTAATAATATAATCGTAAAACAGATGTAGCCATTACTCAATTATTATAATAAAATATAACGGTTTTTTTTAACTATTTTTAGTTTCGATGCAGGGCTGAGTAGTTGTTGGTTTTAAAACGGGTTGTTTTACATGTTGTTAGAAATAATATCTTAGTAATTTATAAGTTGGTCTTTTTACAACATTATATATTATACATTATGACACGAGGACCTCGCTGTGCCACTCAGTTGGGGGTTGATCGTGGCGCTGGGCACGGGCGGCCGGGCAGCCGGTCGTAACGTCCAAGATAAGGGATTAGAATTCTCCCACAAAGCTATTTTCAAAAGGACTATGTATAATTTCCCATCAAAGGTTATTTCAAAAATTAGATATTAATAACTAAAAAAAATATGATTATCTCCACGTCACCATTATACTCTATGAGTTATTTATCTTGACATGAATATGTCTATTAGCTGGGGGTCAAATATAAAGACACAAGAGCATGACCCATTTAAAGTTCAAAATTTGCTATGAAAAAAACTAAGTTAAAAGGGGAGTAAAAATAAAAATAAAATAAATTTGAAAAATTGAGATTACAATGTATAAAAACAATATAAAATTTTTTTTTGTTATTAACCCTATGAAATAATGAGTGGTTTACGATAAAATGATCACACTGTATAACCATTTATTTCTTCTTCAGATGCATTACTGCCACTACACCTGAAAAGCAAACGTTTGTATTTAAAATAAAAATTAATACGAGAAAACTAGATTTAATGTAATATTTCCAAACGCTCTTAAAAATAAATTTTGCAAAAAAACTTACGCCACGTATGCTGTCAGACTAAACAAAAGAATAAATATTTTAATATTTATCATATTAACTGTTCAAATGTACTGTTTAATTCAACTGTATTAGGTTTAGACTGTACTGAAAACATTCAGTGTTTTTAGTGATTACAAGATCAAAGGAAACGATTATGTCTACAATTATCAATACAAATGGTTTTAAGTTTGTTTGCACAAATAAAATACGTATTAATATTTTTTTCAAGACAAATGTAACTGTCTCTAATAACGCCCGAGTTATTTATGAGCCACTTATGAACATTATCGTTTATATTAATTTGGCGTCCATTGCAGTGTGAAATAATAATTTATAATAAAACATATTTTTTTGCCTAGAGTCTAATATTTTTTTAAAGAAATCTTATTGTTAGTTTTAAATTATACACAAAAGGTACTTTGAAAGGCCAAAAAAAACTTTATAAAACCTTCAGCGTTTTAAAACAATGAGGGTTACCTGTATTATTTACCTGGACTGTGGTCTCTATGTAAATAATACTCCATTATACAGTTAAATATTAAGAAAATGCCGGTAATTAAAAAAAAACGGTAGTGCCGAATTTTTTTTCCGTTTGATACTTATAGTTCTAACTACTGACAAATTTACAACTTAACGATCATTAAAATTATGGCCAAAAACCACAATAAACAAACAAATTGTACCCCTCCTAAGGAGGTGGGGAATGGGTATAATTTAAATTCGATACTACTGACGTGTGAGGGTAAACAAAATAAATATTCGTAATAAATTCCAATTCGATTCTACTCTTTTTCTCGAAATTATAGTCAGTAAAAGTTCTAACCTGTTTTTTCGAAAGTGATTTTATCACTTTCAGATTAAAACAATTCCTGTGACTCTGTGACCTTCCCGTCCCCGCTATTTCCCGCTGCCACTGTACTGTTTTTTTTACTTTAGAATTCGTCTTAGGTAAGAAAACAAAAAATATACGATAGGTATTCACGCAGCGTAGTGGATAGAATTTATAGTAAGATAATCGAAGTAACTGTAGTCTACACAATATAATATAGAATAATGCTGTAAACACAAAAAGAAGTTGTTAAATTCGTTTTACGTTAATTAATTCCAATCGTTGTTATTTGCGTTGACTTTATTAAAAAGGCCGACAGTAAATTCCATTTTAGAGTTAACTGTTTGTTTCAATCCAAAGTTACTTCGAAATTCTTAAAAAAAAACTTTAATGAAGCCTTGAACAATTTAAAAGTTTTGCGCTTGAGTAAAACTAAATATACATTTAAGACTAATTTTAGGGAATTTTGATAAATGCTAGATGTTGAACGCATAGCGATAGTACTTCATTGAGAGAATATTCCATGCTAATTATTAAGGCTGTTTTATTTGAAATTTGGTTTTTAGAGAGTAATATAATAAAAAGACAAATTGCTATTAAATTCAACTGGAAAAAATATTTAAAATATATGACTAATAATATTTGTCGTCTGTAAATCAGTAATCGTTTACAAAATAAGAGCATTTTAAATTTAATGGATATTCGAACCATTTTTGTATACTTATTGATGTTGTGTTCAAAACATAATATATTTTCTTGTTGTTCGCATAAATAAATGGTATTGAATAACAACAAAATTGTGAACGTGTACTCAATTGGTAATAAATAGCGTTGTATTATAAATTCGAAACTTGTATTGCTTTAAGTATTTTTTTTATGTTTAAATGTTTTAAATCCTACTTTAGTAATTTATTTTTAATTATTCGACACACTTTAATAGCAGGGTTGGCACTTATTAAAACAAAATATATAAAATTATAAAATACAATTATATTAAAAAAATACCATTTTGTTGTGATAGCTGGTGACCATATGTATGAACAGACTTTTCATCTGGGATGTCCTCTAGAGTAAATGGGTCTCTATGATAGATTGATTAATAAACATAAAAAATGGTAAATTTTCTCGAAAAATTGGCAAATAAGCAAAAAAGAAAAACAATACCGTTTTAAATAACACGCACATCCTATTTTGTCTAATTTAAATGACTTTCGTTTTTTAATTTCTATATTCTAACCATAAGTTAGTTCTCTAACGTATGTTTTAACCCTAAGTACAGGGTATTTCTTTAAATATAAGACACAAATATTCTCCTAAAGTAATTATATAGTTTTTCTTTTTGAAATTATTTTTGTTTTATAATGTTTTTATGAAATCACTAAATCTAGAAAAAACTTAAGCACTTATGTTTATATACTCTCCGCGCGTAGAGTATATAATTTTTATGGCTACGGGTTTTTTTTTATTATTTTATTAAATCACTAAATATTTACATTTTTTAATATTTGCCAGAGCACTATCAACTTTTAAAACTGAAATGGGAACGTATATTTAACTAATATTTTATATTAGGAATAATTTGGTAAAAATGTTAACCAGTTTTTAATAAATACTTTTTATATTAAAAATTTAGGACGGGAGGTGAAGTGCGGTCGGCAACGTATGCAAATAAAAATAATACTACACTTCACCCTTAATTTTGTCTTAAATTTTGATCATTTATACCTAGTTTTAAAAGTTATTACCCAAAATTGGCTATGAACTAGTTGGCAGTGCAGAGTGGTGGCGTTGATAGATGGGTAAATATATATTTTTTATTGTTCTTTGTTTAAATATTAATAAAAGTTAGACTTCGTCAACTGGTCAACAGGGAACTTGTAATTAAACTTAATTGCATGTAACGAAAATGATACGAATTACGATTATGGACACAAATTTTAAGACAATGATATCGCCATTTTTTTTAAAAATTACTGCCGGATGTTTCCCTGTATCTATTTTTCATATTCTACGGCGTTAAGTTCTCTGCAACATCAGTAATATCTTTTTCGTGTATCAACAAATGCTAATGTAGGGGATTTTGGGATTCAGTAATTGTATTATAATTCATGTTGGAAAAAACAAATAAAGTATTTTCATAGCTATAAAAAATAACCACAAAATTACAACTTTTCCAAAAATATAACGTGGCTTACTTTAAAATAAGTATTCAGTGAACCCGGCAAAAAAAAAAATAAATGTCAACAAGTAAATATGAACGGGAAATATGTGTGCGTATATTATTGTATTTGTATGGGCGTTTTTAACAACAGCCGCTAGTACAACTTCATCAAGTTATCCAACTCCCCTTTAATGCGCGAAGAAAGATATTTTTCGTATTTTACAAACTTAGATAGGTACATCTTGTAAAATAATTTATAAAAACACTTTATATTTTACTATTACCTAGCTTATACAATATTTTTTTTCCTATACAAATATTGCCACAGATTTTGAAGGGGAAGAGATGAAATTTTTAGAATGATATGAATTTTATTGAAATTTTATTCCTGTATAATAAACTGTTGTATATTTAAAATAATCATCGCCTGTAAAACAGTTGCTTACAAAATAAAAGTCAAGTACTACTGTACTTAGTTTTCATATGTAACGATATTGCGTGCAGTTATTCATGCGTTTATCGATGAAAAACAATTCAATAGGTACAAAAAAAAAACTCACTTACTTTATTGTCTTAACTCAAAACTTTTCTGATCCGTTTCAACGGTAATATTAGTTTTTCGACGTGCCTGCATGTAAAAATATGTTGCTACGCTTTATGAATTTGTGTCACTCACACCTATTGGAAAACCAAAACTTAAATTTCGTCAACTTAATTTTTTACCCCAAAAAAATCAATTTAAAAAATATTTTTGCAATTTTTGGCTCTTGCGATTCTTTTGATTTTTTTTTAAAAGTTAGATAGATGGAAAGCTTGACTTTTTTACTATAAAACTGGTAGTTTTAGAGTGGGATGGGAATTATAAGTGAGTGAAAATAAGGCTTGACGAACGTCTGAACCCTCGGCTGCGAGCTAGAACAGCCGGCGCTCGGCTAGGTATGTTAGGCTGAATTTACATGAAATGAAACAATCGGTGCATTCTCACTAATTACTGATTTATACATTAAAAAATTGAATATTTTGAAGTAAACCAACCTGTCAACGAGAAATGTTCACAATTATATAAACAAAGTGAATAACTCGGCGACGTGCCTAATCGAATTTGTGGAAAACCTGGTGTGAATATCAGAAATGTCTCCACAATCGCGTATAAATGAAACTAGGCTGTTAATGTTGCTTTAAGATTCATTGACTTCAAAATGTTTGTTTTTTTGAAAGTATTTTAATTTATACAAGTTTTTAGAGTGTTTTCTTATAGCGTTGATTTTATTCTTTTAGGCATTTAACCCGTGGTTTTTCTTATACTTTAACTTTTAGAAATATACCCAAATAACGCACAAACCTCAAGTTAAGGAAAAAGTGAACCACCTAAAATATTTATCATGTCAAATCGCTGTATGAATCATGATATCGGTAAACGACATGAAAACGATATATTGTAGTTTGTTACTACTTACCTATATAAACTTATAATTATTATTAATCAATTATCGGTTGATCGTGTTTGACACGTTATGTTAGTTAAAATGTTTATTTTTTTTTAATTTACTAAATAATATTAACGTTCCTATTGTTATTTTATTTGTATAGGAATAATATTACTTTTTAAATAATTTTTCCATTCTATCCCGTTGTTTTAATTTATACACTACTGTACTGTGTTTTTTGTATAGGCCTGTTGGAAATGCAAATTATATGATTAGTTTTGTTGTTCACTATCTCAGTATTTTAATTTTACAAGTAATTGTAAATAAAAAATTATGATATCACTCCACGATATTTATGCTCTGTATAATGTATAAGTATTTATTGGATCTCTAACAATTATAATGGTACGTCTACAAATCAGTACATGTTGAGGTAGACTAAAAACAGGGATTTGATAATGTATACTTCTAATTCCAACAATTGAAGTGATCAGAATTAAAAAGAATTTCGATGATGATTTTTGTTAATACTGTAGGTATACCATCTGTCAATTATGTTCACCTGTAAATTATGCATACAAATCTATAACCTAATAAAACATAAGTATTGAAGAGGACCATAGAATTTAAGAGATACGTTGAAAACTAATATTTCTATTAGTATTTCTTTTCAATTTTATAATAGTCGATTATGGTGTATTTTATACTTTATTTCAGAAACTTAGATGCAATTTAGCATCCAACTTAAAAAATTGTATTTATATAAATAATAGCTCTATAATTGTCAGTAAACAAATTCTCAAGAACTCTTGGGTAACCTTGTAGTGTAAAGCGTTTAGCATTTAGCGTTTAGTAGTTCCTTTTTCATATATATTACAATAAACAGGCATTTGTTACTATAATTAATTTACGACTTTAAACATCTCAGTAGCTATAACAGGTGAATATTTAATATTTGGTTCTAAATCAGGTTTTTTAAAAATTATTATTATTGGCTCTTCTTTAATTTTACGCATATTATGTTGGTTGTTTAAATTCTAATATAAACATTCAGTTAATATGAAATCACTTTCAGATTTAGTAGTTGTCTTGACTCCTATTTGCTAACTTTTCACACCGCTGATTTTTACAGTACTTAATTTTGCGCTGGACTTTACCGTACTTGGGTTAAACTGGAATAGTTTATTTTTAAAATCGTCTTTAGGTGAACAATAAAGATTATGAAAATTGTGCAAAGTTACAATAAAAGTGTAACTGAACAATAAATATTTAAAAAAATATACGTTGTAATAAATAAAAACCTTACAACTGATAATGGTTATGTATAATTATTTTAATATGCATTTATAAATTATATTTATCTGTGATTGTATTTTTATAATTTATATTTTTATCCGTTGATATATTTAATAAAACAAGTAAATATATACATATTAATTTGCTTTACAGATCCTTGTCATCAAAGGTCATTGGAATTTTTTTTACGGTTTTCAGCTAACTGATCCTTAAGTAGATGAAATGAACCATCTTCCTTTAATTGCCCCCATGCGCCATCTTGTTTTTTGTATATTAAGTGATTACGAGGTCCATGATATAGAATACAATCACCTAAGCTGTACTTAATCCGAAGGATGTTTATGTGTGATTCTGGAAATTGTGCACTTATGTATATTCCTAGCATACGACACACCCGTCTTAAAGTGGCATTATCACATACATCCTGCTCGGGTTGATCTAAAAAAAAAATTTTACTTTGCTAAAATTAGCTAACTAGCTACTGTTTTTTGTATGGTGTAAGACACAACTATCTTATTTGTTAAAATAACGTAACTAAACATTTTAGAATATGAATGATGACCGTATGCTTTAGCCATGCAGTTTGTGTTACAAGACAGTATGCGTTAGTGTATATCAATAATAATAATAAATATATTAATGGTTCAAACCCCATATAACTCCATGTTAATATTTACCTAATACACGTTGGATTATATTTTCTAAAACTGGTCTAGTACAATTTCTTCTCTTTTGTCCAAGAATTTCCAAATCTACTTCTACAAAATCAACGAATATAATAATTACATATCCGCATAAAGTCGAAATAAAATAAATATATTTTAGTTGCTTGTGGTGCATAATATAGTTGTATCACATATTAAAGAATCGTGATTTAACTAATTTTTTTGTACAACTTTGCATTAGTATTTAAACTCAACGAAAGTATTCTTTCTATACTTGAAATCCCAAAGAACGTATTACATATTAACATTCTAGTCCACTTTAGGTTGGCGTGAACATATACAGGTTCATAATTTTATCGTGAACCACTTAATATCTCATAGGGTTTAATAAAAAATAGTATAACCTAACTTTTTTACACAATGCAATTTAAATAGTTGACAGAGACCAATTTGACTATTGGAAAATTCGTAATTACTTTGGGTTTCATCAATTGCAGGCTCATCAACAAGTCCTGTAACAAATACATCAAATCAATATGCAGTTAATAAATCTCGGTGTAGGGAAAGACAGGGTTGATTTGAATGCAGGGTACATTTGAATAATGCTGATAAAACTATTTTTAATGAGCTGAAAATATCGAGAAAAAAACAGTCAGGTTGTTCGAAGTATTGGTTTGTGTTATCAGCGGATTCTGATTTCAGACTGATTATAACTTATAAGATAAATAAAAATGTCATTTATGACTATCGGAAATCTCGTAATTACTTTCGGTTTCATCAATTTCAGAATCACCAAGTCCAGTAACACACACACACACATTAAATCATTAAAAAACTTATAAAACCCGATTTAGGGGAGGATAGGGTGAATTTGAATGCAGGATACATTTGAATAATGCTGATAAAACTATGTTCACTGGACTGAAAATTACAAGAAATAAATATTTTAAGTAATCACGCAGTTTGAAGTATTGTTTGTGTTATCAGTGAATTCTGATTTCAAACTTATTATGTGTTTGAAGTATTGGTTTGTGTTATCAGCGGAAAATAATAATGTCTTTCATGGGTTTTTTTATTTTCGCATGAATTTGTTTACTCGCAAATTCGTTAATCTCAAGTACAAAATGATGTATTGAAATCCAAAATTTGGTTTTCTATCAATGTATCTACCCAACGTTGATTTATTGTAACTATTTTATCTGGTGTAATACTATTTATTAACAATTATAAAATGTGGCGGGTTTAAATGTATGACCTCACTTCGATTCTACTCATGAGAGAATATTTATAGTTCTATATTTACTTTAAATACAGAAAAATTATTTTATACAAAATAAATAAATTGTACTGTACACATTTTACCATATTAGTGAGACACATTCAAATATGACCATTACTGGAGTAGATTTGAATAACATTTCTAGATTATAAAGTACTTGATTAGTGAGGTTAGAAATAGTATTATTAGATAAACAAACCTTTAAATTAACGGATGAAATTTTCAAATGAATTAAAAATATGATATGATTTTCATCCAAATCTACCCCATCTCCCATTTAATTTTTTGTATATTACAGTCACCCATTGAGAATAATCAATTATCAATGCAAAATATTATTGTGTGAACGTTCAAATATTTCAAATAGCAACTTTTGAACAGTTTATATATTATATATCGAATGATCTTTAAAAATTTAAGCATAACACATATACAGCTTTATGTTTTTAAGCTTTTAACCTATTTTTTATCGTGTTTCTTTAGAACTACAAACTAGTTTAGTTAGACATTTTTTATTTACCTAATAATTTTTTTATTTTAAGCTGCATCTCATTCTGGTAATGCATTGAATCTAAAATTAATACAAAATATATTTTAATGTACGTTCATATGTTTTATGATTGACACCAAAATGCCTTGTGAGTATTCTTTAATAGCTACATATGGCTATTCTCAAAGTATCTATACACAATGAATATGCGTTAAGTATAAAACATATGATATATAAAAATGTAATTACTATCTTGAATATCTTTGAATGGCAAGGACTCTACTAAATCTAAAAAAAAAAATCTTGTTTGCATAAAGAATATAAAATAACTGTGTGGAAACAGTTCCATAATAGGCAATTCAAATTATTACCCACTAAGTTTAACATTTGTGGTAATTCTGAAAAAAACATTACATAGATAAATAATATTGAATTTAATTTTATATTATATAATAAACAAGAAGACGAGAAAGCTCAAGGGTTTAAGAAATGTGCTCCACTGTATATTCAATACGTTGGGAATCTCTTTGGGAAATTCCATAGGAATGAAATATTTTCATCAAAATTCAACAAATATTACCCGGTACAGCTATCATCGAATTGATTGTAACTGAAATTAACACAACATAAATAAATGATATTAAAATTTGTTTGCTATTATAAATTATGATATTATATAGAGATATAAATTAGAAGACGAACAAAGTAGAAAAAAAATATAAATAGACTATTATAGCCATATAACATAAAGATGGGTATAGATAGTTATAGACAGCTACTATATTTTTATAAAGATTTCCATCTTTATGAAAATATAAAGGCTGAATATAAGCGGTTGTGGGGATAACAATAAAATTAAAAGGTTGACGGAGCTAACGTCTGTATTTTTTCATAAAGATTTCATTTAGATTTTAGGGAGAAATGAAATGTTTATATCACTTATCAGTTGCACAAAGATAAATTTTAGTTTCAATTTTTATATTATATCAAATATTTTTTCTACTTTTTACTTCGATTTACTATTGTTATTATTATTATTATTATAATAATTATGACTACCGAATTCTTCGTAATCATCGTTATCATCAATCAATTCATTAATTATTTGCTCCAATATATCTAGAATAAATAAAAAAAGATTTGGGGTGTACTAAAATATTGAAATAAAATAAAATTAGATACCATATAAATCTTTAGAATAATATTAATTAACAAACCTTGCTTTAAGCAGTAACCATTTAACTTAACACTACATACTTGGTATACTTTTTACTATTGATAAAATTTAGGTACAAGGACAACTAGGTACACAAAACAAACTTTTATTTATTAGCATATTCATTTTTAATATATCTTACTTGCGCTAGAAGCATGCTCAATAAATGCATCTGCAATACATAATTTTAAAAATATGTATAAAAACAGTCAACTTTAAAAACTTAAAAAACTATTTGCAATGATACAAAAATGTTACTGACTTGTGATTAAAACCTTCTTCCTATAATTCTCTGTAAAAAAGTGATTAGATTATTTTTCAAATTTGTATCACCTACCTTAAGTTGGTATTTGTAAAAATAAAATAATAACCTTTATAATTTTCCGAAGCACATACAGGATTGAAAGCTATAAAACAGAAAAATGTCATTTTTATCTACAAATAATATTAAACATAAGAGCAATTTGTATAAATCCCAGTGGACTCCAACCCGGAGATTAGAATTTTTAATTTTGCGATCCTGTTTTTATATGATAAATATATATATATACACATTTATATCTTAATTTCTGGGTTGCTGTGTACAAATTGACAGTCAATAGGAATTTGAATATGTTCTTATTATATTGTTAGTCAATGGTTTTGGTTAAGCAACCGTGTACAGGGTGCATCTTTGATCATAGGCCACTCAATATGTAATAGGATTTTATAAGAAATTTAATTTTTTCTCATATTGTGTTTATACGATGTGATCTCAACTTTTCCCACTTGTCTTTTTAACCCCTCCCCACTTTGTTTTTTTGATAGCATCTTTTGAAATTTAAACGGTAACCTATATATTTTAGTCATTTTTAAATTGAGAACATTTTACTAAAAAAGTTGACCGGTTGATGGCCAGTTTTGAACGACTCTTTTGAAAGTTATAAGAGTTTAAAAGTTAGGACGGGAGGAAAAGTGCTTTAAGATAAAAAAAATTCTGCACTTCACCATTCCTCCAGTTATAAATTAAAAACTTCAGTAACTACAAAAATAGTTATCCATACCTGGCTTTCGACCAGTCAACATTTACATAGTGAAATGTGTATTTTTCTCAATTTAAAAGTTTAATTGAATCTATGCGTTACCATTTAAAATGCAAAAGTTAATATAAAAATAACTAAATTGCGATGGGTTTAAGAACATAAAAAGTTTGTGGAAAATGTTTGTTCTTGTTCTGAGATCGTGTTATCCGGTACTATTTATTTTCGACAAATAAAGTCGACTAATTAGAATAAAGAATTTGGAAAAAAATTAATTTTTATAAAACAGTTATAGCATTTGTTAAATCCTGATGACGGATTTTGTATACATAAATATGTTAATTTAAAACTTACTTTCCGTTCCCCTATTATCTGAAACATGAATAATACGTTGGAATATATACATTTTATATAGTCAATGTCATTACTACTATAAAATAATTACCTAACACAAATTCCGTGAGATTATTGTGGGCTCTTAACCCGCAGGTAAATAAATAAAGACTTAGGTAATAACTGACAAATTAGAAAATATAATTCATAGTAATTTATACAATAGTATTTAACGAAATAGGAACCGACAATTGGACATATTTGTCCCGAACAGAACATAACCACAATTAATATTTTTTACAAATATCGGTCAGCCATAACAGGCCCACCAACAAACAACCACATTGACCAGTGGCACCACATTATCAACTAGTACAACTCTAACCAATACTTAATACTTATAGCTCTCGGCTTAAAAAACGTTTATGATATAGGTTGGCAAAGCTGAATCCTACACATAATACAAAACTGAAATCAAAATTGCAAAACATTTCCTCTTCGTATGAAATGGTTTATACATTCTAACATTTCAAATAAAAGTACAATTCTGTGTTTCAGGAAAGTGAAAATTAATGGAATGTGAAATAATATGATTGGGTAAACTTATTAAGAAAACAAACGTATTAAGTAAATCTTTTAAATAAATAAACCAAATGTTTTGTAAACTATTTTTAAAATATCAACATTGTTTTATTTCCCCAACAGACTTCCTTATAAGGGAAAAACATTTTGTAGAGTAATGACGTCATTAAAGATTGTGTTTGATTACTTAATTTAAAAACAAAATAGTTTACTTATGAGTTTTTAGTATTTAAAATCAACTGATTATACTTACTATTATTATTTCTTTCATCAACTATGACCTCACATCCTTCCAATGTGTTCGAAGCTAAATAAAATAATTAAGTGGTTTTCAAAGTTAAGAATAAAGACTATAATGTTTATACATTTATAATTTAGCCTGTCTTGATACGTAACGGTTAGGTTCGATGCGATAAGTGAAGAGGTATTGTATTTATAATAATGTGTTTTAATTTTTATATTTTTGTGTTTGTACCCACAATATATTTTAAGCCACTGAACCGATTTCTTCGTGTAGCTACTCTTAAGGTCAGAAATCGTACCTGTAAGGTACTTAATTAGAAAAATTTTAAAAGTTCATCCCTTCCCCTTAAAAATTGAGCAAAAACCCTGAAAAATGTACATGTTTGTCAACTTAAAATTACGGTGCTTCATATCTTTTTTCAAAATAGTTCAATTATTTCCAAATTTATATAGAAAATTCTTTAAACATAGTACTACCGACAAACGTTGACAAGCTAAACAATTATCATATGCCATTTCTCCGAAACACAAGTGCATAATTTATTATAATGTATGTACCTTCTTGTACAAATAAAATGCATATAAAAGTATTAAAAACATTTTAATGTGTTACCTGGGAGAGAGTTACCTCCATCAACAAATGATACAATAACATTTGAAAACGATATTAGGAAAATAATAGATTTCATCTTTAGAAGTTTTTTATTTTACACTGGTGCAAAAGTTCAAAAAATTTCAACAGAATGGATTTCACGTTTGGACTTGTCGACTTTTGTATACCTCTTTTAGTGTTTAGCAAACGAAACCTACAAGTTTCAACTTGATCTGTAAATAATAATAAGCATAAAAGCAATTTTTATTAATCCCAGTTGCTCTAGAGCACAAATTAGAAGGTTTTGGTTTTGCGGGGCTGTTTTGTATATGATACATATACTGGGTGATTAGTTAACTATAGGCCAGTCAATAACTTAGAAGACATTAGTCTTTTTTTTAATTTTATAAAACTTAATTTATTTTTGAAAAATATAAACCCATCCCTTGTATGTTTTTAAACCGTATGAGATTAAAAATTTTTAATCGTGACACATATTTTATTAACTTTTTAATATAGAAAAAATTTGCTGAACATTTTGACTGGTCGATAACCAGTTTTGGATAATTAGTTTTCAAGTTATTTAATTTTAAAACTTATGACGGGAGGGGAAGGGCGGTTGAGTAATGCGCGCAGATAAAAACACTTTTTCACTGTACGCTATAGTGTACATCAAGCTGAATAATGAAAAAACTAGAATTCTCCCCAAAATGTGAATTATGCAAAACGCATTTATTGTATCTGCTTTGGTAAAAAAAAAAAATATAAGAAATCCGTTCTCTCAATAACGATGTTAAAGAACTCCGTTAGGCCCGTTTAAAAATAATTAGTAATAGAAAATACTCATGACTGTCTTTTTCTTACTAAAAGTGTTTTATCATTAAGCCCATTCCTTTTTAGTTTTAACGCAATAACAATTTTCAGTGTTTGATAGAAATACTTACTGGATATTGTTGAGCTGATAGAATTTCTTAGACAATAATCGACTTGATCGGCTTTTGCAACTGTATGTTCTTCATGTGATTTATGAACGAGCTTAGGTATATTTCGGCCGCAAAATCAGAATCTAATAGGTTTTTGCAGGGTACTATGGTTGTTTATTAACACAGTTGGCTCATTTTTTTTTTTATGTTTAACTTACGGCGTACGTACATTACTTTGACACGGAGTTAGATTATGCTTTTCTTTGGTTTTACAAAACAATGTATCTAATGTTAACATTAATGAGTTTCAGTGAAAATTTATTTTATATTTTGGCCTAACTATTGACTGTGCCAAAATTTCTAAGTGAAAAACATAAGTAAAATATTTTTATATTCGAAATAGTATTTTTTTTAATTTATATCACGGTTTTACAATATTTTAGAATCTTAAAGTTTTCCAATTAGAATTTTGCTGAATTACATTTTTAACGTTTCCAATTAGTACATAATAGGATAATAATATTATTAATAAATATCTACTTTTGGATAAATATCGTTCACACCAAATATTTTTTAAAAAAATGGTAGTCAAAACTTATTTTTATGAAAAATTTTTAAACTAAATAAATAATTTAGTACTAGCCTTTAGTGTTATTATAATTTTTGTTTTCATAAAACTGTATTTAATTTTGGGCGCACACCAGTTGCCTTACAAAAACAACGAATTGCCTCCCTTGTTTATCGTAACTTTTAGGCAGGGCCGGTGCTAAGAAATATGCAAGGGGGGGGGGTGTCAAAATGAAGATGCCGACTTTAAAATTTTAATTGCCGACTAAAATATTTGGGTACTTTCGTAAATATTTTATGACATTTTATGACTTGATTTTTTTGATTTTTAAAATGTTTTTGGAGCATAGAAATATTTTAGTCAGCTAACAAATTTATTTATTACTACATTTTCAATTCGCAGTCACCAATACTAAAACAATTTGAGCCCTACTTTAAAAGCATTATTTTAAAAATGTTTGAATTTATTTAACATAATTATAACGTATTGCAGTTGAAACTGCAATTTAACCGAGATATAGTTCAAATAGCCTTATTTTAAATAATTTTATAAAAAATAATGAAATTGTATTCAAAATTATTATTAAAATCTTTGAAATAAAAACAAAAGTGTATTTTTTTATGAGTTATTATCTAAATACAATTTTATTTTTATTTTAGTTAGGTACACTATTTAAAAATAATGCTCATGTCTGCTCCCTGCTCGCTATATATATATATATATAGTATAGTAGGATATTATAGTAGGTAATATCCCACCGCAACGATAGTAATAATGAAGAAACAAGACATAGTGAAGTAGTACCAAGGAACTCTCATAGGCCTTAAAAATCTGGCTTAATGATTTATTCTAAATACGTATCCATCTCATACCTTTTGTTCAAAATTTACTCGGGCCGGCTCAAAAGGATTGTTAGCAGCTCCTTGGTGTTTCATATTCATTCTCTAACCATATATATATATATATATATATATATATTAGATTACACACATTTATAACCAATACTTATTATTTTACACGCGCACACGGGACAAGCAAAAATAAACCCGCCAACTCTTTGCCCGCAGACTTAATACTATGGGTTATGTGATGTGTCTAAAACAGAAGAGTAGGTTTTTTTTATAGTAGGGAATTTTTTAGAATTTTAAAATAAAAATAAAAATATATACTTATAGAGGGACAGAATGTTTGTTTACAATAGACCAATAGGTCCCATGACCGAACATCGTTTGATATAATAATATAAACCACAGTTATTATAAACAAATAATAATACTTCTGCTAAAATCGGGAATAACCGAAAATGCATTGTTTTTTTTTTTACTAAAAACTAAAATTATATTTTCGTATGGTCGTCGGTATGCCGACTATTCTCTATTCAGTCGCTAGATTCCAATAAAAATTATGTACCTACCTACTTTTATAAAATAAAAATAATAAATATGTTATTTGTATAATTTTATGGGGGATATAATATTTACCGACTTTTTGTTCAGAATGTGCCGACTAGGTATACTTGAGTTTTCCGAGTGGGGGGGGGTGTCAAACCCCCCCACACCCCCTCTAAGTCCGGCCCTGCTTTTAGGGTCAAAAACTACTTGTTGTCTCCCTTGTCGGGTACTTAATATTTATCAGCGTAATTTCCTACCAAAACAATCTGATTTCAAAAAAATTGTATTAAATAATTTGTTTTGATATAATTTTATAGTATTTTATGTTGTAATAATTTTTACCTCGTCAATGTTTGACGGATATCAATATAGTTGTTATCTGTGGGAATCCCCATATCAATGTTATTATAGATTTAACGTTTAATTCTAATTTGTGCACAACGAAAGTAACTAAAGAAATGATAAGCGAAAAAGGTAAAACCCAAAGGTTAGGTTAGGTTGAATGGTTTCAAATTTAGTTTCCACTAAAAACTGATGAATAACATAGAACGATGGATTTGTAGTGCAAAAACTTGCTAAGCTTATTTACAGGTAATCACCAAAAGGAAAATCGTAGAATGTAAGTTAAATCATGACGATGAATAATTTTTCGTGTATCCGCTGGAGAGTTGAAAAACCATTGAACTTTATTACACATTACCTAAGGCATAAATTATTATTGCTTAGATACCACAACTGATAATTCCAATTATTGATGCTTATTTTTAATTTAACGACATACAAAATTACAACTATTGGTTACCTATTGCACATACAAAATAAAATATACACTATAAATGATTATTTTAAAATAATATACAATTTGGTAGTATGCAGATGTAAGTATTGATGTGAAAGTATTAAAAGTAAGAACAGTTTCGTTGTATTGTACCATTATCTTTGTTAATACTTTTCTAACAAATTATTGTATATTTAATCTCTTCTCCGGAAACGTATCAATAGTAAACTCGTTTTAAGGTGCGTTATTTATTGAAATAAGAAGAAAACATATTTTGTATGCTTATTCAAACAATTACCTGTTAGATATACGCCTATGATCTAAATAAGAAATATATCTAAAACAACAACTTTAACATCGGCCTAGTTATATTGTTTTAAGTGTCTAAAATGAAAAAAACATATTTCTATTCGACAGTCTTATCATGGCTTTTCCTCCAGCTTATTTTTCAAAATGCTAATACTCTACAAATATTTATTCAAATTTTGATATTGACCAGTTTTTTTTCACATGATATACCTAATGAATATTTAAGAAACATTTTTATTTTTTTTTATTTTTTGTATTTAGAACAATTTTTTTCAAACTTGTACAGACATTTTTAACGGGGGGCCAAATTTAGGTTTCCAAGTAATGATGTATTAGAATTTTTTTCTACTCTGAATTGGTTTTGTACGAAATGCGCTAGTATATTACAATAAACCTTGAAGTGTATCACCAATAGACAGTTGGTAATATTTTTGTATCTTCTTATTTACTTTACGCTGTATCCTAGGTAGCGCGTGCACGCACCGCAAATCGCAACCCGGGGAACGCATGCGGCTGTGAGAAAATATAAATATTCTTATAATATTGATATAGACCAGTGCTTTTTCTTTCACTGCAAGTTCACGAAATTCATTTTTTTGTATTTAGAACAATTTTAACGAGTATAGCTATTTTTTTCAAACGTTTACAGACATTTTTATTTGTCGTTGAAATGGACTAGTATATTACAATAAACCAAATAACAAATGAGTAATAGCCCACTGAAAAACACTTCTCTAAACCAATACACTACCACATTCACCATTTTACAAATCTGGAATTTAGCAGGATATTTTTTTGCACAGCCCTTGCTATACATATTATAATAATATTATATATATATATTTGGGCGTCTATAGGTCGTCGTCACTTAAGTGATGACTGTTGTATACTGTAATTTATAATGTTGATAACACAAGTGATATTTTACTCGTGATTGTTTGTAAACTAAAATACAACCATTTGTTTACCTAATGAGGACTTGATAGATATAACATGGCGCTGTAGAAGAACATTTTTAGCTTCGATGGGGATTTACAATGATGTGGGCTATTCTTGTGTCTGTGTACACTGTAACTTTTTTAATGCTGGACCAATTCTTTATTCGAGTCTATAGTAGACTCTTTATTATGAAAAGGCTATTTTAAATAGTTATAATTTTGTTTGAGCTAACTATATACATAAATATTATTATACAACATGCAAATAGTTAATTAACAGTTTAGTTTTATACAGAGAATAATGATTAGGTTAGGTATAGCGACGATAAAGTTTTAAACCGTTTAAAATAATATTTTTCTTAGTTTGTTGACAATGATCTTAATATTTATATATTTCTAACTATAAACCCATCCGGTAACAGCAGGGCGTATTCGCCATTGGTCTGATTGAGTTGCGTTTGTTTCTAAAATATGGTATGTGTTGTTACAGTTTACTAAACGAATAAAGTAAAATACTTTAGGATTCAGTGTAAGCAATAGTAAATAACACACGATATTCGGTGTACAAATCCAACAACATTCGCTTCTGCGAAAATTGCAAAAACAACGATATCACCGAGCTGTGTAAAAAAAAAAACAGTGTACACGATATATTGATATTCAAAAACAACAAGATAGTCAATTATAATAATGTTATTTTTTTGATTAAGCAAAACATAAAATATATTCTGTAAGACTATAATATGGTGTATTTTTTTTTCTCGTTGTCTGTATGAAAAAGTATGTGATGAATAATAGTCCGTTACTATTAAAAATATTATTCAATGAATGTGTGGCAATGGTTAAAATGTTTTCCACGAAATATTATCTTTTTGCTTGTTTTATTTTCCTATTACCCCAAGACGTGAGGTCGTTAATTGGCTCGGATAGCTGCTGTACATCCAAGTTCCAATAATAATATTTGAATGATATGAAACTGTCAACTGATAACAAGATAATATACGATGCTTGTTTTGATAGTTCAGCTGTAGTCTAAATTATACCTGCTATAATATTGCTCTAAATTCTTATCTTTTATTATCTACTACTACAAACACATTTAAAAACATTTTACCCATCAATGTTAAGACCAGTCGGCAGTCCGACCGAGTGACCACGAATCGTTTTATATTTTGTTACTGTTAAAATGAAATTTTATTAATAACCGTACAGCTATGTGCTGTTTATATTAATACTAACGAGTAATACAAACCGTTTTGGAGAATCATATTTAAACTTTTCGGAATAACGAAGTTTGATTAATGATTTGATTACTTAAAAATGATAAAATGCTATTAGGTATACTTAAATATAATTACTATTAAATAATACTTACAATATAATTTTTTTAATAGGTACATAAATAAACTCAAAACACTAGTTTAATACCCGTTATAAATTATAAGAGAGGATAGCTTTACATCAATACATAAATGTTATAAAAAAAATTTAATTTAGTAGAACATTTCAAAGTCTCATTATTTTATGACTATAAAAATTGTTATTACATCTACGCAGTACCTACTTATTTAATTATTACTTCAAATTTGAATATTTTAAATTTGGTTAATGTGTTTTAGTAAGTTTCGAATTACAAAGAGGTAGGTTCTTGGTTTTTTAACATTTGCTATAATCTTAACCCATATAATGCATAAATGCACTACGGATATTTCGGTTAAACGGTGTTAAACTATTAAGGTCTATACTTCTTCTTAATTCTAGTTAACACTAAAGACACATTTCCTAATTCAGTATTTAACGGGTATAAAACGAATGTTTTATTTTGAAATTTCCTAATAAAAAAAATTGTGTGTACAAACCTAACATATATTTTCAAAATCATATTAAAAACAAATAAATTGTTAAAAAATATGATAAATATTTACTTTTACAAAATATTTTTACTTTTAATTATCTAGGAATAATAGGTTGTTTTTATTATCCTAATAAATAGTACCCTAAATTTCTCCTTTTAATCTATTATATATTTATTCAATACAAACAGTTAACTTAATTATTTTACTTCTTTACTGAACCAAATAATATTTTATTTACGTATATTAAATAAAATACTATTATGCTTGAAGAATTTTTTTTTATCCATCTGCAATAGTCAATATTAACTTGATAAGACTATAACAAAAGTATACTATTATGACATTATTCTAATTAAAAAATTAGAATATCAAATTTATTAAGTTTTATTCTAATATACTGGCTAAGACATTTGGACAATATAAATTATATTTTATTTGATTACATACCTATCTACATATTTAGAATAGGTATGCGATTTAAAATATCATGAGTAACTAATGTGTATTATGCAAGGTGAGCATTTTTTAAAATTATTTATTAAATTTTATTTTAAGATAATATTCGATCAATCATAAGTGTTACATTAGTTTCGACAACAATATAATACCTAATTAAAAACCATGGGTACAACATTAAATATACCATTTATTTAAATTAACAAATAAAAAACTTATTGTCTGAATCTACTATGTAACAACAATATTCCAATATTTTTATTTTTTTTTTCTTTCAAATATTTTACAGTAGTGTACAGTAGGGTTGGGACTAATATTCGGGTTTTGCGGATATCCGGATTATTTGATATCCGGATAATTCGGATACGGATATCCGGATAATTGATCAACTATCCGGATAGTTTCGGATATTCATTTAATTTTTAACCAGCCGAATATATTTTTCGAGTACTCAAATTTATGTATTTTTTGAAATTTTCATGGGTTGAAATATCACGTGGATGATTTTCAGATATATCCGTGTCAGTGGTTATTAACCGGCAGCGGATCAGTCGTGACAACCCTGAGGATGGACTCTGCAAAGAGTCCAAATAGTCGGTTTACAACCACTGACACGGATATATCTAAAAATCATTCATGTGATAGTAAAATTTAATTAGGTGTCATTATTTTATTATTATTCGGTATGTTTAAAACACTATATATTATTAAGGTATATTTGTCTTATAAAAATGAAATGAATATCCGAAGCTATCCGGATAGTTGAACAACTATCTGGATATCCGAAACTATCCGGATTTCGGATATCCGTATCCGAATTATCCGGATAATTCGGATATCCGGATAGGCCCAACCCTAGTGTACAGTTGGCTAATGAAAAAAAAAGATTTGTCGATAAAACTGTTGAACATTTAAGGTAAATTTTTAAATATTCACTTTACTAATTGTGTAAAAAATATTATTTTTAAATTAAAAATAAATATTGTGTTATTAAAGGGTAGAGTTAAAAACATTAATACTTAATCAATGAGTTGATTGTTATTTGTAAGCTAGTATAAATGTGATTTTTTTTCTCTTGACTAGTGTAAAATAATAATAAATGTATAAACTCAAGGTTTAAATTTGTTATATCGAATAATATGCAGAGATGTCCGAAGTTTGGTATTTTTTATTTAATTCTTCTATTTCTCATTTATTATAAATACTAATACTATAATTATTATAGTATTTAAAAGCAATACTAATACCTACTTAATGAGTTACTACTACTTATTATACTAAAGGTATTTATATTAAATTTAATTAAGGTGTACTAAAAAGTGTTATTATTCAAATTTTACTTTGAAAATAAAAGTTTTTGAGGAAGGGAGATACAAAAAAAAAGTATTATTTAATAAGTTAGTATTTTATGCCTAAACTAATTATTAAACATTTTTTTTTTGTAAAAATCTAAGTAGTTTTTGAGTCAAGTGGTGTAGGGCGCTAAAAGAATCACCCTATATACACATATTAAAACGAACAGAGACATTTAAAAAATTGAACAGAAATAAAATACGTCATTAGAACTTAGAACATGTTACCAAAAAAAATGATTAAAAAAAATCAAAGTTAGTCATTAATTATTTTTTTTAATTTGATTAATGTGTTCAAATAATGTTATATTTTCGTCCAAACGTTATATAAAGGGCCGTAAATACGAATTTCGAGTAGCTTTAGATTAGTTTTCAATTCAAATAATATTCTTAATCTAAGTATAATGTTTAAAATTTTTAAATGTATTTGAAAATTGTCATACTGTTATTTTGTGTTGCATTATATTTTCTACAGTGTCAGGGTGATGACCCTACTCAAGAACAACTTGTAAGTATATTGAGCGCTTATTAATTATGCTCATTACACTTATTAATTAAATTCTGCGATTCTTGTTTAACTATGTGCAAAATATTTTAGTGATTTAACCTTACCCATTTTCGCACCGAAGAGTTTATTAAATGAATTGTACACTTAAAAATAATATAATATAATAATAATAAGATAAAATGAAATAAACTACTATGACATTTGTGCTTTTACGCTAAAAATATCCGCAAAGGATGTATTATGTCTGGTAGTTTTTATGTGTAAATTATAACACACATTTTAACGACCAATTTCTATTCTTAAAACCATAGGAAACTATTAAAAACATAGTTAAGAACTATGAAAATCCAGATGGTATAAACGTTGAAGAAAATAGAGATCCGACCATAAACTTAAATGGTGTCAAAGATGTCATCGTAGAAGTAGCAGAGCGATTCAACATACAGATAGAGCATCCCAGTCTTGAAGAACTGCAAACGATAGGATCAAGTAATAAACAAAAAAGCCAGTACAGTTGGGTCGGGGCATAGTGGGGACGGAGAGGTCACAAGTCTACAGATTTTATTATAACTGAAAGTGATAAAATCACTTTTAAATAAACGCTTCGATGCGAATCTGTGGATAGTATGTTCAAACTAGTTATAGTTATGTGATATTTCAATCCGCGAAAGTTTCAACACATTCATATTTATAGTGGTTTAGAAGATATCGTGGGACCAGCAATAATGTACTTAAAATTTAATATTTAGTCTTGTGCAGGGTGGATACGACAAGGGTTGATCGTCTGTCTATAAAAATGTACTGTCATTGTTACCCATACATCGTAATAAACAATATAATGAAAATATTTTCGTTACCTGTTGACTGTTGATTCACACACACATAGCCACCAAGAAACTGACTACGGCCAAAGTGTAATCGTACCCTATTTCTGGGGTTTTTCTTTAATAATTAAATTGACTACAGATTTTTGAGAAAATTGTATATGTTATAGTTCCATTTTAGATCTACCTTTGGTTTAATTTTCAGATCTAAATCTTTAAAACTTTGCTTGAAAAAGTGAAGTAAAAAAAAAAAATCTATCCCTTCTAAGGGAAAGGGTTAATGATATTTTTTTGATTTGTTAATGTTTATCGATAGTACTATATTTGAAGAATAATTCATATAAATTTGGAACATTTTTGACTATTTTTAAAAAAGTTATAGAGCATCGTAATTTTAAGTTGAAAAATTTGTACATTTATTAGGAGTTTTTCTCGATTTTGATGGGAAAGGGGTGATTTTTTTTAATTTTAGGCCTGTTAAAGTACCTTCCAGGTATGATTTGTGATCTATAGAGTTGCTTCATAAAGAAATCGGTTCAGCGGTTTACGAGATATCGTGGGTCCAGACACAAAAATAAAAAAATATAAATAAAAACACATCATTGTAAAAACAATATCTTCTCAGCTCCGCATCGAAGCTAATAGACAAATATCTAATTAACTTGATATGTAAATTATTCAAAAAATATTGAAAATACATTTTAATATTAATAACATTATAAATGTTGTCAAAACTATGTGATATACATGGTGTCACAACATCATTATTATAATTTTACGCATTATTATTTTCAATTCATCCGTGGTAAGATAATTATTATTTGGTTAATAAGTCTTATTTGGTTATTTAATAAAAATGTACAATATTTGTGATTTCAGGTTATACATCCACATTGTGGGAAGTTAAAAGACATGCCGCAATATACTTAAATTATGACGAATTAGATCGGGAAATGACGGTAAATAAAAAACGTTGTTACAATACTAGTCAAGTTGTTTAATATGTAGTTTGTCATTTGTATATCATGAAATTATAGTTATTTTTTAAACTAAAAAATCATATTTCTCTGACCAAACAAAACATTTGTTGGTGTAGAAAATAAATAAAAATCATGTGGGATACATAATCAGTTTTTGGTTTTAATTTTTTTAACTTAATTAATAGGTAAAATAAAGTTTACAATATTATTATTTACTTAAAATAATTTGGAAAAAATATATTTAGCAAGTGTGTCGCATCTCAAATAACTCATTTGCTAATAAATTGACCCGATTCGTTTGTAAAAATGTATAATATTTTTTACTTTCAGAATACAACTTTACTAGGAAGGAAGTTACATACATCATTATTGATTATTTCTTTCATGGGTTTCTTTGATATAATTATTATTTTTTAGTTTAAATATTATGTTTATGTATGTAGTTTGTAACTTACATATGTAGTTAGATGATACAATAAATCATGTTGCTCTAATATTTTGTTAGCATTTATTTAAATTAGACAAATCATAGATGAAATATCAAAAAAATAGTGCCATCATTTACAAAATTGAATAGTTTTCAACATCTTTAACCTTCGCGTCTCTTATAAGATTTGACACCAATGTCTTCTGACTTTAATTGGTGATATTTTAGATTAAAAAAATTGATGTATGTTTTTAGAAAATATCGATGACCAAATACTTCATTATATTAAATTTTACAAAGTATATACTCTGAGTAATTAAAGCATTTTCAAATTACACGTTATAACAGTTATTAGGTACAGTTATCCAGTAGCCGAGTGTGGGAGAAAGCGTGAATAAGTCTACTTGTTAGATGAGTTATGTGTAGTCCCTCGACATAAAGTTATTATCTGCTAGACGTGGGATAGCCATTAAATAAGGTATAAATTTGAATTTTTGTTTATATTTCTTAACAATTTCATTCGATTCAACAAAAACAAGTAGTTTTAATACGTCGATCATGATGTCATCACATAAAATATAATACTAATTTGGTATTAGCGCAATCCTTAGCAATACTAGGCAATTTTAATTAAAAGTGTGTCGTGTTGTGATTAACTTAAAATAACTATTAATGCATTTATTTGTGTATGTGGGTTGATAATACTCACATACCCGTTTCATTTATTATTAAAAATATCAGTAATTAATGTATGCATTTCATATTACTACATACATAGAATCACTTCTTGATTATACCAATATTGTTCTTTATTTTATTTTTAACCTATGTAAGTATATTATTTTAATTTAATTAAACTTATCTAGGGTAGTTCAAATGTCTGCTTTCAGTTTAGTGATTTCGGAAATTCGATCATAAAGTTTTAGTTATAAATAACACAGGTTTGGCTTTCGTTTGGTTATGTTTTTTATCATATTTATTAATATACAATAATTTTCTCTTTGAAAAGTTGTAATTTTATTAATTTGTAATTAATGAATTCAGTTAACAAGTAAATTATTTTTTTTGAACTTGCCTAAGATAACTTATTGTTAATTTGATTTATTGAATTTTTTGTTTTTGTTTGATTTGTTTTATCACAACTGTTAAAAAAAAAGAAATAATTAAAATCTGTATTATAGAAGTTGAACAATTTTAAATGTATTAGAGTTATTGTTTTGTTTCATTTTTTTGAGTGAATATTTTTAAAATAGTAACATTCGTAGATTTTAAATTTATTGTTTTATTAATAATTAGTTTATTAGTTAAATACTTATATTGTCAGACAAAAGAGTAATATTGTACTTTAAATGTTATACTATACTGTCAATTCATAGTTGACATTTGTTAATACTATGTGTTGTCAATGTTCAAAGTTTGTAAAGTTCATACAGTCCAATATTAAAGAAAATTGTCGTATACGTTTTACAGCAAATATTCTTTTAACCATTTTTTGCATAATTAAATGTGAACAAATTTTATTTTTAATAATTGTGCATTATAAGTCAGTATAATTGATCTTATAATTATTTGTATTTATACATAAATGTAGTATACATACATGTAATATGTATAAAACCAGACAAACTTGTAACATAGACACAGTAAAACAGACAAAATTCCGTAAAATTTAAATCCTCAAAAATGTGTTTTATTACAGAATAATTGTTAAATTTAGAGAATAAAATTTAGCATTTATTTAATATTACTATTTTTACATAATCTTAGTAAAACGTACCCGTTATAATAGTTTTGATAATGTCAATACTTTAATTTGTATGGTGAAACAAGGAAATATCAAATAATGGTTTTCTTTTTAAATGACTAAAATCTATTGAGCTTTTAATTTTCTAGATATTAAATATTGAAGAAAATTATAAAAATAAGAAAATACTGATTATAAAATCAAAATAATAATACCACAATAATATTAGAGTAATAGTATAGTTAAAAGAAATTAGGGTATCTTAGGACATATCCATAACATCCATCAGTCGGCTTATATCACATTATTTCTTTTTTAAATTATATTACTACATATGTATGTTTTAATTTACATTCAATATCAAACCAAGGCTTTGGAATCTATTAAAATGGTGCGTAGAACTGTAATGCATAAAATAATTATTTCATAGTAAAAATAATTTTTTAATTTGTTGTTGCTGGTTTTGAAATTAAATTTACCATATAGGTAGCAGTCCGTACAATGGGCTACATAATGGGTACGTGGAAAGTAATTTATTGCAATAATATTAGAGTAGGTAACAATAAGATTAAAATAATTTAGGATAGTTAAGAACACACCTGCACATAGCTCAAAAATATTACATCCATAATATCCATCAGTTCCTATCCTACCATATTTCTTTTAATTTTTATTATTTTTTATTTTAAGTCTCAACCCACGATATCTCCTAAACCTAATTTTTAATCATTTTGTTCCATACAATAAACGTAAACATAAAATATATACACAACCACGGTGTAGGTTTTAAATGCAAAAAGCTCGTATGAAAAAAAAAGACTATGGTATAACGTACCAATATATTGTTGTTGTAATTTAATAGACAAGTGTTTTGCACCAACGCTTGAGAAAATAGTAGTCAACCACTACAAATAATTCCAACCTTTAGCCTGTAACGATACGGGTTTCTTTGCACACATTAGCACTTTGAACATCATGAACACGAAAACCAATACAGTAAGGAAAACTAGTTAAGGAAAACTATAAAATAGAAAACTAAACTATTGAAACCGTATACAGTAATACAAAGGACAGTATTAACCAGTACACGTATGGCCCCACTTTAGTAATTTCTTCCTACATATGCTTGGGTTGGACTGTTTTTTTTTGTATATTAGACACTAAAGAGCTATTAATTGAAAAATACATAGAAATGTTTCTAAAATATTTATATTAACGTAATGGTTAATGAACAAGTCAAATTAATAACGTTAAAGCTTATGAGTGATCAACACGACCAGTTCTAGAATCATTACGTTTTAAATGAAGTTTTTAAGGAATCATTTAGATTTTTCTTCAATATGTGTAATGCAGAACAATACAATTTCAGCGAATTCAGCAAAGTGAAGTAATTTTTTTACTCCAACTCCTAAAAAAGGAAAATTAAATTTGTTTAGGTGGCGACCAGCAATCGTATTTAATTAACTAGTTTAACTTTGTTCATATTACCGTTAGAACCGTCAAATTTCTTTAAAATATTTTTCCCTTTTTCGAAAGTGTGCGAATCTTTTTCCGACCCTTTCATTTCATTCAAAACTGTTTTTAACTTATCCACAAAAGAGGAATATTTATCATAGCGCAGTAAACCATCGCATCTATTATCGAGTTGATTGAATTTGTTTATACAGGCCACAATCTCGTTCTGACCTAACAATTTAGATTCCTAAATAATCGATAAATACAAATTTATAATAGTTATAACAGCGAACAAATTTAAAATTTATAAAAAAAAGTATGAAAAATATTACATTTTTTTCAACCGTATTACTACGTTCAGCCGCAAATTTCATTAAATTCATCAGCACTTTTTCAATGGGTTCTGTGCGGGTTTTAAATATTAGTTCTCCAATTATTATTTATTATACAATATTAACATTTTTCATTCTTACCGTTGGATTGTAATAGGATCTTCGATTCGTGTTCCGTCATTTTAATACCGAGTTCTTGGAAGACTTTTTTACATGCCTCAGAATCAATACCGGGTAGAGTACTATGGAATTCGTATAATTTAACGAACTTTTCTAATTGTTCTAGGGTTAGACCATTACCCTAAAATGTATGAAAAAATTAAATATGACAGAGCGGATATTATGTGCTTCAATCTTTTTAAATTTATATACATATGTATATTCTTATTTATACAGGATGATCCACTTATCGTGAACCACTCAGTATCTCACAGGGTGTAATAAGAAATTAAAATTGTTTTTTTCATAATGTTTTTATACAATGTGATACTAATTTTTCACAATTTTTTTTGTTTTTACCTCCCTCCCAACTTAGTTTTTTTGTTAACAACTACCATTTAAGTTTCAAAAGTTGCTATCAAAAAAACCTGACTGAAACATAATCTATAAAGTGAAAAAAAAATAATTTTCGTTTCGAAGGTGGTATTACAAATTTTAAAAACAACAGAAAATCACGAGTATTAACTTACTTTTGGTTTGATATACAACATGACCAACAAGAACTCAATCGCGTTCATAAAATAGATTTCTAAAATTGAATTAAAAATTAAAAGTTGTCTAAACCGCTTCCCCAGCTTATATTCATTACCGTCTTTATTTATTTCGAGTTCCTTTGATATTTCTTCCTGTATAGCTAAAAGCCCCAATGTTTTATCTACTCCTGATAGCTCATCAACAGTAAACAATCCCGGATGCTGGTGTGTTACAGCGTGTGTAAAGAACACATCAAGGTAATAATCTACTTCAAATGGGTTGAGTTTTTTATTCTAAAAACAATTTGTACATGCAATATCTTAGAAGTTATATACTTTTTATTGTTATCCTTTTTTAAAAATTATTTTTATAGTTAACAGTTCGCCTAATTTGTATTAGTTTTTCCACAAATAAAACACCGTTCCTTATGATCTAAATGAAGGTAATGTTATTATTATTTTTTAAAGAGAATAATTCGCTGAAAATATCGAATGGCCCACAACCGGCTTTAAATAAATACTTTTAAACATACTAGAGTTTATTATTACTCAACTGCAACCACAAAAACTCTTTTTCTTAATTTGAAAAGTTACATTGATATACAGGGTGTTTAATTAAGGATAATATACTAATTTTCTCTATTTAGTAACAGAATTTTTTTTTAGTTTTATTCTTTTTGGAAACATTTTAGTTTTAAGTTACTACCATAGATAATATTCAAGTTGTCAATTTAATTGCAGAGCTCATTCTTTTTAAACTCAAGTGGAAACGTTAAATACGATTAAATTGTTAATGTATAGTCATTTAAATTTCGAATAATACTAAAAAAAGTAAACGTTTAGTTAAAAAGTAAATTAATAATTTTATAATGTTGTAAAATTACATAAATGAAAATGAATTTTAAAAAAACTACAAAATCGCAATTATTTTAAGGAAAAACGAGTGTCTTCTACTAATCACCCTGTATAATGAACCCTTAAACAGTTTTAAACTCATAGGGTTTGAACACATAAGATGGGGTTATATTGTTGAAAATAGTGTCGCATTTTGGCTAACTACCACGAAACTAATGCATATATATAAATATTATATTTAAATAAGTATGTTATATGTATGAGTAAAACTAGATGATTTTACCTTGACTTGGTCAGAATTTAAATTGTCATTAATCACCAACCACCTCAATGCATAATTTAAATTAACTAAATTGGTCAAAACTATAAATAAATTTATATAAAAATTGATTAGTTCGTGTATCGTTAATTTTTAATATAAACCTTAATGATAGTTTCTGGCAAAACTCTTCTACACATGTACATTTTACATGGTGATTTGTTTACCCTGAGCCACTCAATATCTCATGGGGTTTAATAAGAAATCAAATTTTTTTTTTTTTCATATCAAAAAATTAATTTCTGTTGGTTTTTCTATCCTTTATGCATTAGTACACCATTCATACGATCGCCATGAAACTTTGGGAAGTCGTTGAGTAACACTCAAACACAACTATTTTTCGTTGCTAACCCAAAACAAACCATGTAACCATGTGTAACCATGACAAACACGGTACTCGAGTGATTGGTAGGTGACGATTAAAGGAACAGGTCGATTCTATGTACCACGATTCTGGGCAAGCTGTTAATTGTTGGAACGGGATCTGGGACAGAGACTAGGACCGGGACTGGGACCTTAGAGTGAGAGGAGGACATAATAACCGAAAAAAGTTTCACAAAATCGCTGTCACGCTGTTATCTGATAAGAGATAAGAAATTAGAGATTAGATATGAGGGATGGGGATAAAGGTGGGGATGAGGGTGGGAATGGGGGAACGGGAATTGTTGTGCTCAGCCCTAGCAGACTAAATCTCGGGCAACGCCGGGTCCGGACAGTTTGTTGTTTTTATACAATGTGATCTCAATTTTTCAAAAAATTTTTTTGCTTTTACCCCTCTCCCAACTTAGTTTTTTCGAAAACCACTTTTGAAACTTAAACGGTAACGTATATATTTTATTAACTTTTCGAATTGAGAATGATGTACTAAATATTTTGACTGGTCGAAAACCCGTTTCGGCAAACTATTTTTAAAGTTATAAGAGTTAGGATGGGAGGGGAAGTTCGGTTGGGAAATGCGCGCAGATAAAAATAATACTACACTCCACCTTTCCCCCTACCTTTAACTTGAAATTTAAATAACTTTAAAAATAGTTATCTGAAACTGGTTATCGACCAGTCAATATTTTTAGTACATTATTTTCCATTAAAAAATTTAGCAAAATATATACGTTCCCATTTAAATATTTTACACCGTTTCAAAAGTTGCTATAAGAAAAAATAAGTTAGGAGGGGCTAAATACAAAAAAAGTTTGTGAAAAATTAAGATCACATTATATAAAAACAATATGAAAAAAATTAATTTTAATTTCTTATTAAACCCTATGAGATATTGAGTGGCTCATGATAAAAAAATCACCCTGTATATCATTATAAATTAAAAAAGTTAATAAAATATTTATACGTTACCATTTAAGTTTCAAAAGTTGCTACCAAAATTTACATTTTAATTTAAGTCGGTTTACTTGGCTTAATAAAATCGGGTTAATCGTATTGGGTTTACTTGCTAATTTAACTTAATTGTATTTCAATAAAATAACTATTTTTTCAGTTTATTTCAATTTTGGATTTTGATGAATTTAAAATATATAATTATAATATAGGATAAATTAATGCCATAAATAGCAACTTAAATTATTTTCTTAAAGATAACATTAGAATTTTTAAACAATATGTTACTTGGATCATTTCTAAAAATATTGGTTGCCGGTTCAATTCCAAAATATTGTTTCACGAATTGTGTGCTATCATTGTCGGTAATTCCGGTAGGAGAATTTTTGTACAGCGTATTCAACAGTTTTAATTGAACACTGTTCAGTCCAATGCTCTAAAATAAAATATGGTGACTTAGAGCTTATCGGTTGTATTATTAGTACACCTAGGCCTATAGCGTTTATTGTCGATGATTTGACAGATTTATGTACAGTATACTGTATGGTTCTCTGTGCAATCAACGTGATAATCAGAATATATTTAATTTTAGAATTTATATCATCCCATGTTCAAAATGTATATACTCTTACCCATACTGACGTCAGGAAATACACAGCAAAAACACTAACTGCACTCTTAAAATACATAATTGTAAATGTTTTTTACACAATAATATGAAATTCAAGTGCTTGTAATGGTGCAACACCGAAGTCGAACGACGAATAAACTGTAAAATAAGTATTTTTTACGGTTCCTCGGTATTTTACTGACGCAAGTTCCAAAAACAATTCTAGGCCACTTGCTGAACAAATACAGCACCGAGTTGTTGTTGTACAATTTTTGTAGCAATGATGTGTGAGTACACATTTTGTATAAATTGGTATGATATTTTTTGAAAATTTGTTCGGCATTGGTATAAGGAAAAACGATGATATCATGGCACGAGCTTGAGAAACGATTATCTGCCTCCCCCCTCTGCGGTACAAAAACGAAATATACAGGGTGATCCATTTATCGTGAACCACTCAATATCTCATAGGGTTTAGTAAGAAATTACAATTTGTTTTTTTCATATTTTGTTTACACAATGTGATGTAAAAACCGGTTTGTTCTGTTTGTGAGTGCTCATCAACCACCCAGTCGTAATATGCTTATCGCCGATTACGAAAAAATAATGAGTCTTAATAATTCAATTACCTTTTAACCATACCTACGATACAAATTGCAGAAAAAATGGCCTAACATCTTACAGTAGTCGTAACAGAAGCAGTACAAACTTGTTCTAAATCCGTGCCAACTAACAAAAATAATTTTGGCGTATTACCACAATCTATATCTTCTTTAAACCAACGTAAACACAATTTAAGAAGCATTTGGCAAAACCATACAAATCCGGTCGATAAAAAATTATTAAGCAAACTCACTAAAGATGTGCAAATAGCTCTACAAAATCACCGTGTTTCGTCATATAATAAGTATTTGTCAATAATTATACACCGGGGTGACTCAAATTTATGGAAGGCCACAAAAAGACTTTTTAATCAAGAAATTAATGTTATCCCTTCGATCTGCACAGCTAATCAACTAATGATTTCTGATGTAGAAAAAATGTAATTTTTTTTCAGAAATGTTACATAACAAGTTTACTCTCAACCAAATGAGTAATACAAACAATGATCGGCGGGTTAACAACTTTCTAGAACATCCTGATTACTCGGTCCAAAAACCAATGGATTATGTTACGCCAAAGGAAATTAAACCAATAGTTAAAAATCTACCCAACAAAAAAGCTCCGTGACACGACCTCATCACTAACCTAATGTTTAAAAAATTATCTGCAAAAGGATTCGTCTTCATCACTTCCTTATAATCTTACTATAGTTAGATTTAATCAAATAAATTATATGATGTGCATGATATTATGTTTAAGGGCACCCACAGGGAAGGGTAGAAGGAGAAAACTCCCTCCATAGATTCTCTGCAAGTTAAAAAATCATAACTATACACGGATACATAGGCACACGGATATGTCTTACACACAACACAAGTAAAAATAACCATTTCCCTAACAACGATTTGGATGTTGAGTGTGACATTCAGCGTTACGTTTCGGACTAATTTTTAGAGTGACTCCAAGCGATAAGACATCCATGTCAAAAATCCAATATCCAAAATTTGTAAAATTTATTAAAGTATCATAGGCGGCTCCCCCTGAATTTTCACCTGCAGGCGCCCTTGAATTTGTTAGACTTAGATGATAGACCTCGTATTATTTTTTTAGTAGTTCTATAAGTATAGAGCAGAGTATGTGCGTTTTAAAGTTCACAGTTTAATTCATATTGTAGAATTTTTGGAAATAAGGAAAAATGTAGTGCATTTCAAATAGTTACCAGAACATAAAGCGTAATATTAATAAACTTCAAGCTTTTAGCACAATTATAAAACAGTGAAAATGGATGTCGGTCTATATTTAATGATTGTTTCATCGTTGATGATTGCGATGCTATTGTTGGAAACGTATATTTAATATTAAACGATTTGGAACGATATAATCGATATACCTACATCGATATTAATCTTTAATTAATATTTAATCGATATAAAAAAAATGATTCAATTTTTTTTTAACTTCTTATTTTTTGAATGTACAATAATAATTTTAAGTGTAATTAAAATGTATTCTTAGTAATTAAATTTAAAATTTTTGACTTTTAATCAATAATATTTTCTATAATACTTAAATAGTTAAATTAAACAGTTTTTTTAGACCAATTATATCTAAATGTTAATTGTGAATACCTAAGTAATGTAATAAAATGTTTTTGGTATTTTTTGTGATTTCATTATTTGCAAATTAAATAGTTTTTTTTTTCTTTACGCGCCATTTAGGCGCTTCGCAGCTCTACCAAACTCTCCAAACTTCTCGATCCTCTGCATCCTCAATACTTGCTCCATCGCGTAATCTCTTTTCGCAGTTTCGATGTGAACATTTTTCTCATTGCATGGTATCCACGGTTTGCTGCACTTATTCTGGACTTAATCTCGTTATGCATATTATTTTTATGATTTATATTAGCGCCTAAGTACTTAAAATTTTCGACTTGTTCAAAAGAGAAATGATCAATGCTCACATTTTGTAACGGAGTAGGTCGTCTACTCATTAGCATATACTTAGTTTTATTTTCATTTATTTTAAGGCCTATCTTTTTACTTGTCAGTATGAGCTTTCGTACTGTCCCTTCTAATTCCGTTTTCGATTCTCCAAATAATACAATGTCATCCGCATATGCTAAGAGAGTTGAGCGCCCCAGTACTTCCATTTCTCGATCTTCCTGCATATCTCTTACGACTTTTTCAAGTGCTAGATTGAAGAGAGCGGGAGATAGCGCGTCCCCTTGTTTCAATCCACATCTGACCTCAAACTCCTTTGATGTTTCTCCAAGAAAACGCACTTTGCAAAGCGTGTGAGAATTGCAACACTTTATTAAGTTAACCAACTTCTTTGGTATTCCGAAATGTATAAGTGCTGACCATAGCCGGTCTCTATTAATGCTATCATAAGCTTGTTGGAAATCAATGAAAATCATGTGTAGGTCTTTGTCATACTCATAATACTTTTCCATAACCTGTCTGAGGGTGAATATATGGTTAGTAGTGGACTTTCCTTTCATGAAACCACACTGGTATTCACCGATTATTCCTGTTGAATATTTTTCAAGTCTATGTAAAATGGCTATTGACAAGACCTTGTAAGCAGTGTCCAGAAGGGATATGCCACAGTAATTTTCTACTTTCTTGGGGTCTCCTTTTTTGTAAATCGGGCAAATAATAGCGGTGTTCCAACCCTTTTCTAGTTTTTCTTGCTCCCATATAGTTGAGATGGTTTTGTGTAAGTTTTCCAAGAGGTCTCGCCCAGCAGGTTTGAGTAACTCCGGATTTATGTTGTCCTCTCTTGGAGCTTTGTTGTCTTCAGTGACTCCACTATTGATTTAATCTCCTCCAAACTAGGTTCCGGCACTTCTGGTTCCACTTTAACATATATTTGATCCTCAGCCGGTTCTCTAGATCCATTTGTATTGTTTGTTTCATCGTCTGATTTATTGTTTAATAGATTCTCAAAATATGTTTGAAACTTGTCTATGATCATTTTGGGGTCTGATATGAGGTTGCCATCGTCATCAGTCATAAGATAGGTACGAGATTTAAAGCCTTCTTTTATTGATTTACATTTTTCAAAGAATATTTTCGGGTCCTTTTTATATGACTCAATGTCATTTAGGGCATTTTTTTCTGATACTCTTTTCTTTTGCCTAATTATTCTATTTGACCTTGCGCGAAGCTCTGCATATTCATGTAAATTTGAAGTCGAAGGATTTTGTATCATTTTAACTCTTGCTGCTTTTCGATTTTTTATTGCTTCTCGACACTCATTATCAAACCAGTGATTCTTATTTTTTCCCTTGGTAGCTCGGAGAGTTTCTGCTGCTTTATTTAGTGATTCCTTTATTTGGGTCCACTCTATTACATTACTCAATTCTCCTTGTATTATGTTAAAGCTGTTCAATCCTTCCTTTATTCTGTTTTGGTATTCCATGATTTCCTTTTGATCTCTTAATTTACTTCTATCTAGTTTATGTGCTGTATTAGGTTGTTGCTTTTTTCTCCAAATCGTTGACAGTTTTAACGATAGGGTTGCTATCACTAAGAAGTGGTCTGTGTCCCCATCCGTACCCCTATAGCTTCTGACGTTTTTTATTTAATAATTTTAATTAAATAATAAGAACAATTATTCGGGGGACAAAAATTAATCCTTAATAATTTAAATTAAAAAGTACGTTGAATTCTAACTATTTTTCAACATATTATTGTGTGTAAAATTCCAATTTTTTTAAATTGTTATAGCGGTTGTGTATTGATTTAGAGAATTGCTTTGTGTGGGATATTACTCATTTGTTATTCACATCGAACGAAACCAAAAAAATAAGACACGAAAAATAATATTGTGTTTTTAGACGAAATACTTCAAGGTCTTTTATATTATACTAACGCATTTCATATTACGAAAAATCTGGGTACATAGACCATTGCTAAGTAATTTTATGTGAACTATGATTACTTATATGCTATTTCATATCGATATGATATTATGGTAATAAAGATGCAAAATCATTAGAACCAACCGTGTGTTGCTTACACACTTTATCGTTTACTAAATAAAATATAATACATTATTAATTGAAAACCCACGAGTAATAAATAACTGTTCATGTTAGAAAATAATCTTTTGACTTGTTAACATTTTTCCTGATAAAAAAAATATAGTATTGTATATTTGTTTAATGTATCTGGGTCGACCCACAACGATTTTTTTTGAAAATTATATTACTTGTCTGCTACAATGAAAAGAATGTTCTACAATTTCTTAAAAAAAAATTTTTTCGATTATTTTAGCCATGATCGTAAACAGATTTTTAGATTTTTTCTTTATATTTCTTTTTTACAATTTTAGAGTGAAATCACTTTTATTCAGAGTGAGCTGCCCACCGCGTGGGTTACCAGAATGACACAGCATAATATTCATTGCACAAATAAATAATACAATTTTAAATTTTAAATTTAAACAAATAAATAAAATATTTAAATCAAATACGGAGACAACATAACACAGAAAAACAAAATTGTTGTTATGAATACATAGTGATGAGCTATTT